CAGGGGCGGATACAGCTTTTTGAGAAAGGGGGTGCACACAATCGAGAAAGGAGGGATGCACACTATTGAGAAAGGAGGGATGCACACTATTGAGAAAGGAGGGATGCACACTATTGAGAAAGGAGGGATGCACACTATCGAGAAAAAGGAGGGAGAAAGGAGGGGTGCACACTATTGAGAGAAAGGAGGGATGCACACTATTGAGAAAGGAGGGCTGCACACTATTGAGAAAGGAGGGCTGCACACTATTGAGAAAAAGGGGATGCACACTATTGAGAAAAAGGAGGGCTGCACAAGGAAAGGAGGGATGCACACTATCGAGAAAGGAGGGATGCACACTATTGAGAAAGGAGGGATGCACACTATCGAGAAAGGAGGGATGCACACTATTGAGAAAGGAGGGATGCACACTATCGAGAAAGGAGGGATGCACACTATTGAGAAAGGAGGGGTGCACACTATTGAGAAAAAGGAGGGCTGCACACTATTGAGAAAAAGGGGGGCTGCACACTATTGAGAAAGGAGGGATGCACACTATTGAGAGCACACTATCGAGAAAGGAGGGCTGCACACTATCGAGAAAGAGGGGCTGCACACTATTGAGAAAAGGAGGGCTGCACACTATTGAGAAAAGGAGGGCTGCACACTATTGAGAAAAGGAGGGCTGCACACTATTGAGAAAAGGAGGGCTGCACACTATTGAGAGGAAAAGGAGGGCTGCACACTATTGAGAAAGGAGGGCTGCACACTATTGAGAAAGGAGGGCTGCACACTATTGAGAAAAGAGGGGCTGCACACTATTGAGAAAGGAGGGCTGCACACTATTGAGAAAGGAGGGCTGCACACTATTGAAAGGAGGGCTGCACACTATTGAGAGAAAGGAGGGCTGCACACTATTGAGAAAGGAGGGCTGCACACTATCGAGAAAGGAGGGCTGCACACTATTGAGAAAGGAGGGCTGCACACTATTGAGAAAAAGGGCTGCACACTATTGAGAAAGGAGGGGTGACACTATTGAGAAAGAAGGGCTGCACACTATTGAGAAAGGAGGGCTGCACAAGGAAAGGGATGCACACTATTGAGAAAGGAGGGATGCACACTATTGAGAAAGGAGGGATGCACACTATTGAGAAAGGAGGGATGCACACTATTGAGAAAGGAGGGATGCACACTATTGAGAAAGGAGGGATGCACACTATTGAGAAAGGAGGGATGCACACTATTGAGAAAAGGGGGCTGCACACTATTGAGAAAGGAGGGGTGCACACTATCGAGAAAGGAGGGGTGCACACTATCGAGAAAGGAGGGATGCACACTATTGAGAAAGGAGGGATGCACACTATTGAGAAAGGAGGGATGCACACTACTGACTCGATGACTGGTTATTTAACTACTTGTATTTAGTGTGTATATGTACAATCTTTCTTGTCACTATATGGCTGAATTTGCCGAGGTGACGTTAAATATTAACTCACTCACTCACTCACTCACAAAGATAAGAAGAAGGGAATAAATGAGAGGATTTATAAGGTTTTTACTTAAATCGGCAACGATTGCATATTACATGAAAAAGTGATTTAGTTAATCTAGCCATACCCTGCTGGATTGCCCCCAGCTATACCGCAAATGGCCGTGTAGACTTTGTCAAAAGATTCGTCAATCTAGTTTTAGGATGATATATTGTCCCGGACATTTTCTTCCGTGTGTGGGTTGATTGATGAGGCAAAAACTATTTCTATAAATCCTCCTAATACTGTATATTAATTAGAGGAAATAGATGCCAGAAATTAGGCGCTATTTGACGAAGACATCTTACGTGATTGAAAGTCGACGTCGCGAATCAAGAATGTCGCGTCATGACGTCAAAGAGTTGTCGCCCCTTGGTGTACAAGTATGTACAGATCAAGATTCAAGCTGATTATGAGTCTCGGTTTGTCAGGTCATCAAAATGGTCTGTCCTGTCGGGTGACATACAACAGACAGATTGTTTATTCAAGTCTCGCCTGGTTACAATAGACATTATAAATTCTAAACATACATAAAACAGATAAAATGTAACAAGCCACTCTATGTAAGAGTTATGAAAGACTGTAAAAATATAAAATTAATCACAGAAGCTATTAAATATATCACAGTAGCAAATAAGATACAAAATTCACATATCATATGCAACACTCTGTGTTATAACAGAAATAATGCCATTGCTTGTAGGATCCTTATACTTTTGATTGGTCCGCCTCCGCTAGCAAACCATTTGCCTGGCAATATGGGTATAGATCTGCATTATGACACATGTAACTTCTCGTCAAGCCTCACTATTGTCCACACACGGACGCCATTATATCCACCGAATACTCGTGTCATCGTATCCCAATTACGTAGATCGATGCTCGTGATGTTGATCACTGGATTGTCTGATCTAGACTCGATTATTAACACACCGCCGCCATATAGTTGGAATTTTGCTGAGTGCGGCATAAACTCACTCACTAGTCTAATGAGGGGAATGGGGTGGGTGGGTGTGTATCATGGGGAGAGTGGGTGTGTATCATGGGGTACTGGGGACCTTTTGTTCCCAGGATTCCTCATTATATTCCGCTCAGTACTTCTCAACGGGGACTAGCGTGGGGTACCCGTCACGTTCAGTGTTCAGGGGTACAAGTTAACGTTTGTGCCCAGGACTCACACTAACAAGCTGGGGATCTATTCCACTGAGGATTCGCCATAGGGGACAAGCAGTGGTTATTGATACTGAATTTGCAGTATTACATTAACTGTAATCACTGGATTGTCTGGTCCAGACTCAGTTATTTACAGACCGCCGTCGGCGGTACATATGTATAGCTTGAATATTGCTGAGTGCGCGCTACACAACAACCAACCAACATCATCCACATATTTGTCTTTAATCCTCAATTTTGACGACTTTATTGTGAAGATATAAACGTCACATTCAAATACCTTTACAACGTCAAAACTACGTGCTTCAACATCGGCGATTCCCATTGGCTGAAACTGACGTCTGCCTTGACGAGAGTTTAATGGAATTCTCACAGTAGATATAAAAAAACATGCTGGAATGCCGGATGAAACGTTGATATTACCGCCATGTAATTGATCTGCACGAGCAGAGACAGATTCCGTGAATTGCTGCCTCGTTAGCTTACCTGTGATTAGGGAGATTAGGGACCTTCCGTCATTGGGATTACTGAAGGGGGAGAATGTCAACAACAGCATGGGATGGTTTCGTCATTGGTTTTTAAGAGCGCGCACGTGTGTGCGTGTGCGTGTGCGTGTGCGTGTGCGTGTGGGAGACAGAGAGACTTTGGGTTGACACCGCTTTTAGTGAGTGAGCGAGTTTAGTTTCACGCCGCACTCAGCAATATTCCAGCTCTATGGCGGCGGTCTGTAAATAATCGAGTCTGACCAGACAATCCAGTGACCAACTGCATGAGCATCGATCAACGCAGTTGGGAACCGATGACATGTGTCAACCAAGCCAGCGAACCTGACAACCCGATCCCGCTAGTCGCCTCATACGACAAGCATGGGTTACTGAAGATCAGTTATAATCCGGATCTTCACGGGTTAGACGCCCCTTGGAGCAGTATTCCAGGTATATCGCTCCCTGTCAGCTTGATGCAGGTGTGCAGCCATTAAGTTAGTCTGGTCTCAACCGTGTATCGCTTTGCTGAATCCAAATCAGGCACTAGATGATGACCAACCTAGAATCATTATCGGTACGAACTGGGATTCGAACACACTATTATAGGATCCTGGTACTGCGAACTGTAGCGCTTGTCTACAATGTGCCCAAGTTGTAAACCGATTTTGACTAATTTTAGAAAGCTCTGTCAACGACAAATGTCACTTGTTCAATGTTTTTTGTATATAACATGAGTATTATTAGTGGTATGAATACACAGATTTACCAGTTCTCTCCCTTTGTCGTGCCAGCATCGACCTGATCGGGGCCATAGTTTGCCGTGCTGATGTTTTCACCAAAATGGTCGAGGTCTGAGACCTCCTTGTGAATTTCACCTGTAATGTGTGTAGACACGTCTGATATTCCTGAAATGCTGTCAAAACAGAGTTGTTTCGGAAGACCTAGACTAAGGCTTAGTCTCTGAATATATATAATTTTGATAGTAACAAACAAGCCCATTTATATTGAAAAGGAGCCCTAGGGAGACCAGAGATTCAGAACCTGAGGAAGTCTAGACTTGCTTTATTTAGGGCTTTAGCACTGCAGAGAGGGCTTGGCAGTGGGGAAATGTGAGACAGACTACGGAAGACCCTAAAGCCATGACTTGGCCCTTCCGCCTCTAAAACATTGTTTGACGCACCCATGGGCCTCCCTCGAGCGTTGAACTGATTTTTATGCAGAAACACCCTTTTTGAAACGTAGATTAAATGGTCAAATACATGGTCATTTTGTCTACTTGAATACTCGATCCCCATCATATAGAAAGTCCATTTTCCCTGGGTTTTCGTGGTTGAACTTGTGTCCAGTGACCTATGCCACGCGCGTAGCAAGCCATTTTTTCGTGTAAGCCCGATAGGTTGCAAAGCTTTATATTTAGATAGTATTGAGGGTTTGTCCAACCTATTTAGCAAAAATCATGTGTAAGCCCGGGCTTTTTTCTTATAATGGTAGCTACGTCCCTGTCTGCTCATCGAAAGAGGTGACTAAAATGAACGGGTGACGGTATATAGCAATAGCAAATGATTCATGTCACTAATATGCCAAACCCAGTCTGTTATTGATGGACAGCAGTGATAAAGCTGAATTATTGGTGACTGGGCCGTGTGGTGATGAAGTGCAAAGATGATATCATCATTTCTACAAACTTTTTAATAGTTTTATAGTCATGTCTGATACACACCGCAGTCCATTGGCTGCTGTTGGTTGGTCTGAATGCCGCGACGGTACAATCAGTTTTGGCCTTCCAATCAAATGACACTAACGTGCGAGATAAATTGTACGGGAATTTACTGACAAGAGCGATTCCTTGCAGATACTACGGTAATCGAGAGATAAAAGTTATTATTATATAATTGGTAGCGGGACAGCAAAATCTGTCTATGAGATCAAACCCTATCTTTGTCGAGTGACGATAAACTCATATCACTCCCGAGTGATGATATCGTATATCGCTACGGGTCAAAGTTCAAGGCCACTTCATGGGTCAAGGCCAAAGTGAATCATCCTACAATGACGCGGGACTTGCACGTCATGTCTTCAAATGCCCCCTGATGTTGATTACAAACTTGATAACTGGCAATTGTCTGACCTGAAAGTGTCTTCCCCGACATCCTCTGCCAATTTAATGATCTGTCTACTTCCTACTGTACTGATAGCACCAGTTGAACGTTTACATGCGGGCGATCAGCTGTTTTCAAATGGCGGCCTTTCCTGATTTCTCGACAAGTAATCCTATGTGCTAACAACTGTCGTTCAACGTAATCTCTTTAATTTTTATGGCATCAAATTATATCCTTGCACGTTGGATGAACGAAAAATGAAAAATGTAACGACTGAAGACAATTACCGACGTGGTTAAGGCTACATATTTTGAGATCATAAATCACGCAATGTGAGATTTAATTGTGTCACATGTTTATATATAAATGTCCTTCCTGAAGACATCAAATCTCATCTCGCCAGTCGACGATAGAAACTCCAACAGATGGCGCTGCAGTTCGTGGTGCGGAATTGCTTCCCCTGGAGGTGCCAGGATATGATTGTTTGCATTACCCATGATTCGTATTCACACAGATCCGCTCATGGTTCCTGGTAAACGGCGAGGTCTTTTCCCCCACATTAAACTGACACGCCGAGATACAACGGAACTGGAGTGTTCAAATTGGTGTAAAACCTTGCTCGGACATTCATCATCGGCTGACTTGGTTGACACATGTCATCGGTTTCCAATTACGCAGATCGATGCTCTTGATGGTGATCACTGGATTGTCTGGTCCAGACTCGATTAATTACAGACCGCCGCCATATAGCTGGAATATTGCTGAGTGCGGCGTAAAACTAAACTTACTCACTCACTCGGACATTCATCAGGGTCGCTCGTGAGAGATGCACTCGTGTTCTCTTGTGATGTAATTCGCATGCTTAAACAAGTAACATTTGTAATATTAGTTCTACAGCTCGTTGTTTAAAAGAGGACATCACTGGGTCGCGGCTGTGTGCTACAAACCTATGGCTGTTGGTTCGAATCCCTCTTCACACGAAGAATATTTGTAATGATTGTTAAATGCACCTAAGCGTCATTGTTGACGACATGCAATTATGAAGTCACAATAGATGATGACGTCACAACGTTACTCTGACACTGACTTCGGTGACAGTACATCACTGCCGACAGGCGCAGATCCAGGGCCTAGATTTTCTGAAGCTCTCTTAGCGCTAAGATAGTCGTAAGTTAATGTTGATGTATGGCACTTACGACTAGCTTAGCGCTAAGAGAGCTTCGAAAATCTAGGCCCCGGGTGCCGTTGTACAAAACAACCTTAGCACTAAGGCTACCTTAAGTCTATGTTAAAGTATGGGAGTTACGGTCACCTTAGCGCTAAGATCGCTTTGTACAACGGCACCCAGGTTAGTATTGGTCTTCAGTAATCCATACCTGCCGTAAGAGGCGACTAACGGGATCGGGTGGTCAGGCCAGCTGACTTGGTTGACATGTGTCATCGCTTTCCAACAGCGTAGATCGATGCTCATGCTGTTGATCACTGGATTGTCTGATTATTTCCAGAACAACGTCATGTAGCTGGGAGATTGCTGAGAGCGGCGTGAAACAACATACAACCATCACTGTCACAGGCTCATTTGCATATTACATGACCATACATTTCTCTTGTTTGAATACACACCCGCTTAATCTGGAACCAGAGGCTGGCATCGAACAAGGTGCTGCTGCTACTATCACTACAGCTAGTACAACCACTACAGCTGCTACTGCTGCAACTGTGGAGTCTGCTACTACTACTACTACTACTACTACTACTACTACTACTGACCCGCGAAGGTCCGGGTTAGAATGAACCTTCAATAACCCATGCTTGTCGTAAGAGGCAACTAACGGGATCGGGAGGTCAGGCTCGCTGACTTGGTTGACACATGTCATCGGTTTCCAATTGCGTATATCGATGTTCATGCTGTTGATCACTGGATTGTCTGGTCGATTATTTACAGACTGCCGCCATATAGCTGGCATATTGTTGGGTGCGGCGTAAAACTCAACTCGCTTACTAACTAACTACTACTACTACTACTGCTGCTGCTGCTACTACTACTATTACTACTACTACTGCTACTACATGTTATTTTAAGGGTGTTAGAAATAGCCCATGTCCTAACTCTAGGTATAACGAACAAACTGAAACCCCCTTCGTATACTACTTAAAAGAAGTTAAGGAATATCAGATGACTACATTTAAACCGTCATGGCATAAAACTGGGCATTCTTGATCATGTCACTTAGTCATATGAAGTTGGTCAAATGAAAATATATCACCCCGGGATGGACTAACTTCAGTTATATCGACAAAAGACGAATGTCCTTAAACCTATTTTGAACAGTACACGCAGACAAAGGAAGACTTTTTATGGATGCCAAAAAACGTGTTCTTTATTATGAGGAACACAACGTTCGGAGTATATCCTTACTCGAGCAGGTGAATGAATGATATGAGGCAGAGAGCATATATATGTACATGTAAGAACAACAAAAGTAATAAGATGCTAATCAATGGAAGCCAACAGTTAACTGGCTTTGATGTGTGATTGGCAAAGGGCAAATGGACACCTGTAGACACATTTCAGACAACTACCTTCCGGGATGTTGAGTCCGGATTAAACAGGTTTGGAATAACGAGTGAGTGAACGAGTGAGTTTAGTTATACGCCGAACTCAGCAATATTCCAGGTATGTGGCGGTTGTCTGTAAATAATCGAGTCTGGACCAGACAATCCAGTGATCAACAACATGAGCATCGATCTGCACAATTAGGAACCGATGACATGTGTCAACCAAGTCAGCGAGTCTGACCACCCGATCCCGTTAGTCGCCTCTTACGACAAGCATGGGTTACTGAAGATCAGTTCTAACCCGGCGGATCTTCACGGGTCTCGGAATAACGAGATCTCACTACTTCATATATTAAAGGTGATAACAAGAAACAATGGCAACACAGGTTCAGTTGATTTCAACAGGTATGCGTGCGTGCCTTGACAAACGTAGAGACAGGTTGTGAATTCCGCTTCTGCGCATGCGCTGTACAGCTGTCTCGCCTTGATATCGAGAAATGTGTGAAACAAAAGCACGAGGGGGTACTTGACGTAAACAAACAGATTTTCACAGTAGAAAGGCGACTTGAGACACTTGAAGGGGCTGTAAATCTTTAGTTGGTCTGTGTTTGTATGCATGAAGATCTCCAACACACCAGTATTTGACGATAAGAATCATATCTGGGTAGACGGTTGTCTCGGAAAAGTTTCAACCGGCACCCGGTTCTCTGATCGGGTACGCGCTGTACAGTCAGTGGTGAATTAATGAGCATGGTCTTCCACAGCTCACGATAGAAACCATATCACAGCTCGTTACAGTAAGCATGCATATTATGTCCGTTTTGGGTTTTGGGTTCGAACGCCATTGATCCCGCTGACGCTTTAATCATCATCATCATCATCATCATCATTTAGTTTTTCGTTTTGCGCCGCTTTTAACAATATTCCAGCAATATCACGGCGAGGGACACCAGAAATGGACTTCACACGTTGTACCCATGCGGGGAATCGAACCCGGGCCTTAGTCGTGACGAGCGAACGCTTTAACCACTAGGCTACCCACCGCCCCTATACACCAGCAACCTACATTATTACTGTATACACAGCATATACATGCCTGATGTATCTCTGCCTCTCTGCATGGGGTTCCACCTTTAGGCAGTCTTTATGTCTACACGTATATCTGTATCTTTACCTAAGCCCTGAACTACGTGTTGAAGCACCAGGACACCACCCATGTTCACACTGCGAGAGAAGCCGTCGCGCCTGGATACAGCTCGTTGTACAGACCATTATGACGTAAGGTCAACTGTAACTTGCAAAAGGTGTTGATTATCATTTAATAATAAACTGTCGGCGCCTGTGATCTTGTACTCGAGCATTTTGCGAAAGTTTTTCCCCTCGCTTTGTATTAGGGATTGACGTCTTTTATGTACTGAAAACATTGTACTTAGGTTTGGAATCGAACACGTGCATGACGAGTCATCCTTTAGGCTTCGGTTTTACACAACATTAATTAGTTGCTCTGGTAGATGCATTTACCTCACCGTCATGAACTCCGCTTTAATGGACGTGTGTTGAAAACGCCTGCTTAGCATAGAAGAAACATTAATATTTTTTACTATAGCTAATTTAGAACATGTTGTAATAATCCATCTACACGGGCGTATAAAGTATCGCTGCTAGTCAAAGGATGGAAGATTATGTAAGGAGGTAGTAATATTCCATCTTCACAGGCGTAGAAAGTATCGCCAATGGATGAAAGATTCTGTAAAGGTGAAGTAGGAGTAGTAACTGTCTAGCTGCCTGAGTTCGGGCTTGGACCAGACAAACCAGTGGTGAATAGTGTGAGCATAGATCAATGCAGCTTGTCCTTCACCTTGGTACATGGAAAATATTCTTAAATGAAATAGTTTCTTAGTGCCTCGTTGTTGTTTACGGAATCTTTCCCTTCTCGTGCAGCTCATTTACATTTATTTATATGAACATTTTACCACTGTAGAGTTTAGAGTATTTCTCGTGTCAACTGCGAGAATTCCTTTGAACTCTCGCCAGGGCAGACGACAATTTCAGCCAATGGCTATCATTTGTAAGAGACGTGTACACCATCTCATCCATGTCGTCAACATGTCAGGTTAAAGGCTAACAGGTCGATCTGGGATTAGAACCAGTGATAATCTACAACAACGTCTTATATAGTCTCCCTGT